CATTTTTAGTTATTATCTAATGACGTAGTAAAAAGAACAAAATAATATGTTTGTTGTGACTTGTATACGAATTTTATGTTTGAACAAATATTATAAAATAAAAGATTATAAATATCACGATGTGTCTTAAATCAACGTGGATTGTTCCGCTTGAAATATAGAAATACATGTTTTTATTCATTCTGTTATACTTTGTATATCTTCATCCTATTTGCAGTTTTCCAATCATTGGATAAGTAATAGACAATAGACATGAAACTATAAGACGCGTTTGTTGATACATCTTCAAAGAAATACATATAACTTACACTTTTATAAAACTTCTTTTGCATTTTTTTAATACGCAGTATTACCTAATGATTAAAGACAAACTATAATTTTTTTGAGTTTCGAATCTAGTGATCAATTGATTCAAAAGCTATAAGTTATATGTATTTAAATTTCCATGCTTAGCGCACCAAAGAAAATATAAAAAAGATTTTTAAGAAGGTATGTATCTTAAAACGAAGTTTTACCGGCATAAGTATGACATCTATTAGATAGCAAAAGAACGAGGTTGCATTCTGTTTTTCGATTTTCTTACGGCAGTGATGCTAGCAAAAATCATGGCCGGTTTTCAGCTTGGCATATGGTAGACGTTACCTCGACACAGCCGGTGCAACCGCGACTATTGTCTGCGTTGCCGTTGACGAATCACCACAATCAAAACTACTATAGGTTCAAGCTGGAATTATAATGAAAAAAGCCTCTCTTTGAAGAATAAAAAGTAAACGCCTTCTACGATGATTCAATGTATCTAGTAGTTCTCGTATCTAAAATATCTATTTTAATTATCCTTATACTTGAAATTATTATCTTAATTTATTATAAGATTCCTATAATCAATATTATTTATGGAATCAAGAGTGAAATAGAACGAAAAAAATAAAAAAAATACTTATAAATATATCCGTACAATATTAGGAAAGCAAATTATGCAATATGTTTCTTCACATAAAATTCAGATATGAGTGATAGAATATAAATGAAAATCTTACGGTAGTTTGTTTTCCAATATAATGTATATAGTTAATGTTACGTTATATTATAAATAAAAGATGCAAGATCGATAACGAATGTTTTAGCGTTGAGAAAATAGCAAGGTAAGAAATACAAGGACGTGGTACCGAGATTATTCGAAGACTTTACGTCCTCATTATTGGAGACGTAATTTTAGCGTGTAACGACTCGAGGGGTCCCCGGACATGGCTACGTAGATAAAGATCGACGCGCTGGCCGTGAACTTTGCACCGTGAGAAGAGTTTTCTTCGCTTAACAAGTCACACCGAAGTTCCCGCGCTTTCAAACAATGAATCCTTCCACGCGGTGAACAACCGTAGTCATTTCCAGGATTCTTAATAGAATGAGAAGGGAAGTCGGATGGTTTCGCGATCTCTTATTGTACTCTGTACATAGTTTTAAACTTTAATAACTTGAAAACAATAAAACGTAAGACAGATGAAGAGAAGAAAATAAAGAAAAAGAACTTGTATAATAAATAACTTCTATAAATCGAATAAATATTTTACATGCTATAGATAAAGTCAAGTTTAAGAAGAGAATTTAACAAAACTCTACTATACTTCACTATAAATAAAATAAAATACTCATAATTCTTAATAGATAAAACAAATCTCTATTTCTAATTCAAATTCTAATTCTTTAATTGTATTCATAAAAATATGAATTTGTGTAAAAATTTTTATGTCTAATATAGATATATCCTATATCTACTTAAACATTCATTAACAAGTTATAAAAAACTTATATTATTAAATGTACATTAATATTGAATTGATTGTTTAGTCAGAGACACAATTACACATGGAAAACGCATGTTTTTTTTCATATTATCTACAAATATGTACCTAGTTTTGTATACATTAGTAAAAGCAAAATTAAAATATTTATAATTAATCTCAATTTAATATATATAAACAACTTACATTTTTAATATTCAATTAATAAATTGTTATTAATGAAATTGAGTAAAAGTAATAAAATAATAAGAAAATTATAGTACTTTTTTATTTAGTGATGTATGAAACATTGTGTCCTCGTGTCGTGCTTAACCTTTCTGCTAGTGATAACTTCACAACGGTATGTTGTATACGCGTGATGAAAATTCTAACCTCAATATAAGAAGTAATTATGGGACGTCGTAGAAAGGTAATTTTTTTATTTCAATTAATAATTTTGGTTAATAATTTTTAATATATGCAAATTAATAAAATTTTGGTTAATAATTTTTAATATATGCAATTAATAATAATATATGTATTCAAATAATACAATATAAATAAATTGTAAATTCAATATTAATAGATTAGAATACATAAATATGTTTTTTAATAACGTACGATATAATTTAGAATATAATATACTCTAAAAATAATTCTTTACTTAACTTTAACATAAATATTATATAGGGTCGTTGTGTGAAGAAAAATAAATCAATTAATTCAGAAGAAAATCCAGATGTAATAAAAGCACCTCATTCTTTTGTTATTCATCGTGGATTACCTGGAGAACATATTGTTGAACTTACTAAAGACTTTCGTAAAATTATGGAACCTTTTACGGCAATGTCTTTAAAAGAAAGGAAAAAGAATAGAATTAAAGATTTTATATCAATAGCTAGTGTATTTCATATTACACACATGTGTATATTTACAAGAACAGAACAAGGAATGTATTTTAAACTGTGCAGGTATCAAATTTGATTATATTGTTTAAATATTAATCATTACAAATATCATTAATTAAAAAATAAATTTGTAATAGATTACCAAGAGGACCAACACTCACTTTTAAAATACATAGTTTTTCCTTATCACGTGATGTGATATCTTTATTAAAAAAGCAAATGGTATATGAAGAATTATTTAAAAATTCTCCATTAGTAATCTTAAATAATTTTAGCGGAGAAGGTATGCAACTGAAGCTTATTGCTTCTATGTTTCAAAATATGTTTCCAACAATAAATCTGACTTCGGTAAGTTTTTTTACAGAGTAATTCTAGATTATATGTTAAATTATAGTTTTTCATTTATTCAATCATTTTTTAATACTTTTGTAGGTTAATTTAAGTACAATTCGTAGATGTCTGAGCTTAAATTATAATCCTATATCAAAAACAATTGATCTCAGGCATTATGCTATTAAAGTAGTACCTATTGATGTATCGAAAGGCGTTAAAAAATTAATTCAAGCCAAGATTCCAAACTTGTCTAAATGTGAAGATTTCTCTGATTTTTTAACAAAAGGAACAATCTCTGAAAGTGAAGCTGAAGATGATCCTTCAAGTCATATTACATTACCACAAACATTATCTTCACGTGGTAATCATGCAAATAGTAAAAGTGCAATCAAGCTCTTTGAATTGGGTCCTAGATTAACAATAGAGGTAACAAATAATTAATTTTTTTTTTTAAATTTTAGAGGTAACTATTGGAAATTAACATTCTTCTTTAAAATTTTTAGTTAATAAAAGTCGAAGATGGAATTCTAGATGGTGAAGTGCTTTTCCACGAATATATCCATAAATCTGAAGAAGAAAAACAATTAATAAAGAAAAAACAAGAAGCAAAAAAGAAATTGAAGGAAAAAAGAAAGAAAATACAAGAAGAAAACAAAAAGAAAAAGGAATTACAAAAACAAGAACATAAAGAAAAATCTTTAAAAGGAATGCAAAAGAAAAAAGAAAATGAAATATTATTACAAAAAATTGCAAAAGAATCAGTTATGGAAAATAATGTAGAAGATGATGATATACAATATTATCGTGATGAAATTGGAGAAGAGCCTGATAAAGGTAATTTTAGTCTTTCATGCGGTCAAAATGACTCAATTAATTAACTAATTAATTAATCTTTAATTTATATTTATTTTTGTTTGATTTAGATTTATTTGAAAGAAAAGTTGGTGAGAAAAGATCTAGGAGTATATCTAAACGTAAAGTAAAAAAACAAAAACTTGATAAATCATGATCAATACTGGAAATTATAACAATTAAGGACAAGTATATAATGTAATATAATTTTTTATGTATGGAGTAGATTATTTAATAAGTCTAATTTTATATAATAAAATTCTAAAAATATTTAATTTCCTTTTAATTTTATTATCAAAAAAATCAGTTATTTCTTAATAAAATCATGAATTACAAATTTGAAAATATACATCATTTTTAATTGGATTGCGATTATTTACAATCTTAACAAATATATAAATATATAGTACAGGAATTATGAAGTTATAATTTTACTGATTAAATAAAATACGCGATTGCACAGTATCACATATATAAATTAGTATTTATATAAATAGTATTTTAGTAATAATAAAATAGTATTTTATGACTTCTAATTTTTTGCTATATCTAAATGCTTAAATAAATCTTATGACTATCCTATTGATTACATCTATCTTGCAGGAATTCATTCGGTTTCAAAACAAATGAACTGTGTGCTTCTAATTCTTTTATCCGGTCTTGTAATTCCTTTATTTGCCGAGATCGAGATCGACATAAGTTTTTCATTAGCGTCTTCTCTTTTTCTAATTTTTGAATTTTCACATGATCCTGTATGAACATTACAATCTCATATATAAATACTGTAAAGTCATTAAAAATTAGTATACATTAATATCTTTACTTACTTCAACAACTCCACTGTTAGTGCTGCAAAAGCGCAGTAAATCATTGGGTATTGTTTGACAACCTTGGTCTTTTCTATTAACACGCCATCGTCTACAGATATCACATTCCCACGCATTAACATCATTTAAACATTTTTGTAATTGCCTTACTTCATTGTTTAATTCTGCATTCTATATATAAAATTAAATATTTATAATAATTATTATAATTTGAAGCTTCCGAGTGTAAGTCATATCCAATGAAAATTATAGCTGACGTTTCGGCTGCACTGTAACTATATTTTGCAAAACCAGAAAATATACTATATATAGTGTACATTATATCATTAGAATAGATATACACTCGAAGGCAATTTTCATTAATATTTATGCTATATCATATACCTTATTACGAAACACAAGTACAAGTTCTTCTAATTCTTTACATTTTCTTTGATACGGGAAATTTTCACTCTGAATTTGTACTTCTAATGTTGCAATTTTTCCATTTTTCAATACTAACTGCAATTCTAATTCATGAATCTTTTTTTTCAATTGTTCATATTTATTTTCGTATTCACAAAACATTTTATCAAATGTTGCAGTTCTATCTTGTTTTTTTGTACTACTTTTAAGTACACTTTCTTCATCAAGTGTTGCATTGCATTTACGTATGGTTTCCGCATTATTAAGGTCTTTATTTTTCATTGTTAAGTCTTGTACTTTGTTTATATATTCTTTAATTTCTTTATCTTTCTGATTCAATAATAATTTATGAGTTTCTAGTTCTTTTATTATCCTATTCCTTTCTTCTTCAAGTTCCATAACACGATTACTCGACTCTTCTAACTTATTCTTTAAACTCTTATCCAAATTTTGTGATTGATTCGTATGTATTTCCTCAAATTCCGTACCATCTATTTCTTTTTTATAAGAATTTAGTTTAGCTTGTAATTCTGAATTTTCCTTTTTTAAGATACGAATAATACTTTCATTTTGAAGTTTAACATCGTCCTCTACGTCCATTTGCAATCTCATTTTAAATGCTTCTATCTGATCATGAAGTTCTTCATTTTCTTCCTTAAGATTTTTTAATTTGTCCTCTATCTCTTTAACAACCATATTTTCTGATAAATGGAAATACAACTTATCTTCTAATTTTGAAATTTCAGCATCTCGTTGACGAATTATTTCTGCATATTCTTCTACTTCATTATCCAGTTCCTTATTTTTTTCAGTCAGTTGTTGGATTTGACTGACGTATTCTTCAACTTCTTTATTCTTTCGATTCAATATTATTTTTTTATCTTCTAACTCTAATGCAATCTTATTCTTTTCTAGAAGAAGTACATCGTATTTTCCTTCGTCCATTAATAAACTTGAAGTTGAATATTTCGACTTATATAACAAGACTGTTTTCTTCAATTCATCATTTTCTTGCAATAGAAGTTCGTATTTACTTTGTATATCAACCAAATCTTTTAAAGTCTGATTTCTAATTTCTTGTAATTCTTTTACACGATTGCTTGCACCCTCTAAATTATTTTGCAGTCTTTTATTTAATTCTTTTAATTCTTCTATTTCCGCTTCTGCTTTAATCTTGCTTGTACTGTTTCTAATTCTTCTCTCTAGTCTTGCATTTTCTTCTCGAAGTTTTTCATATTTTTCTTTCAAAGTATTTAATTCATCTATTAAAACTACATTTTTATTATTCAATTCATTTAACTGCTTACTCAGGCCAGAATTTTTTATTTCTTCTGAATTTAATTTATCTTTGATAATTTCCAGCTGTTTTTCTCTTTCTTTTTTCAGTATTTCTATTTCTTCTTTACATTGTTCTATAGTTAATTTTTGACTTTTAACATGTTCCTTTAGCATTTCATATTCAGGTGTAATTGTCTCCAGTTTCATTTTATATTCAGATAACATATCGCATTTATTTTTTAAAATAGTCGTGATTTCTTCGATATGCGAATTCTTTTGTTCAATCGCTTGATTCACTTCATTATAAGCCTGTGTAACTTGTTCAAGTTCTGTATTTATTTTTTCTACATTTTGAGTGTTTTTTTTTATTTCAATCGAATTCGCTTCTACGATATTTTTTAATTGTTTTTCATTTGCTTCAAGTCCCTCAATCGTATTATTCAATTCCAAATTTTTGATTTTATAAGATTCTATGGTTTGAACTAGATTATCTATTTTCTTCTCGTATATTTCTTTTTCTGAATTAAATTTTGACTGCAACTCTATTTCTTTGTTTTTAAATATTTCCTGTACTTTTTTTTCTTTTTTTTGAGCTACAAGAATTGCTTCTTCTTGTTGACTGTCAATCTTACATTGTTTATCAAATGTAATTTGCAAATTATTAAAATCTGTTTCTAGTGCTACTATTTTTTCTTTAAACATTTCGTTTTCATAAGTACTTTCTTTTAAAAGATGTTCTAATTGATACATTTTATTTTGATATTCCTTATGGATACATTCTTTTTCCATTAAATCTGTTTGAAGTTTTTCAATTTCTACTTCTAGTTCTTTGGCCCATATTACAGTACGTTTCTCTGTATCTATGCACTGTTGTTTTTCTTCCTCTATTTTTTCCTTTTCCTTTTCGTATGTTTCTTTCATAGATTTAATTACTTCTCCCTCCTTAAGCACAAGTGTTTGTAGTAAAATTACAAAGATTTCATTTACAGTTTTATTTGGGAATTCTGGTAAATTTACATTATATTTAAGTGATCTAAGTTCTTTAATCATACATTTTCTAATTTCGTTTAATTCTTCATTGAGTTTCTCATTGCAATAGACTAATTCCTTTTGTTCATTAATTAAACAATCTTTTTCTGTTATTATTTCATTCAATTTTTCTTGGATATTCCGTAGATTAGTGAGTTCTTGTGTCAAATTTAAATTTTCGTCTATATATTTATTTAATGTATCATTTAATTTTTCTATATTTTTGTCGTATTCTTTAATATGCTGCTGATATTGTTGGGCTACTGAATCAAGTTCATTTTTATATCTAATTTCTGCATTGTTCTTAATTTCAATTATTTCAGTTTCTGCTATCTGTAATTTTTGTGCGAGTTCATATTTTTCTTGTTCTTTTTCTTCCAAAAGTTTTTTTAAATAAATAACTTTCTCTTCATATTTCTTAAAGGAACAATCTTCATTTGCTGTATTCTTTTGAAAATTGTTTATATACGCTTCCAATTCTTTGATTTTTGATATATTATGTTGTTCTAATTCTTTACTTTGTATATTATCTTTTTCTAATTTATCACATTGTTCCTTTAGACGCTGTAACTCTTTTTTGCATTCACTTGAATTAATTAATTCATTTTTCTCGTTTGTAACTAAAATTAATTCATTTTTCAGAAATAAGATATGTTCATTTAATTGATTAATCAAGGAATTCTTATCTTGTTCTTCGCGTTTTAAACTCTCTAATTCTACTTCTAACATCAGTCTTTGTGATTCTAATTCTTTTTCGCGCGTGGAAAATTGATTAAATTCTGCATTCATATCAGCTAATTCATTTTCAAGAATTTGTATTTTCTTTATTGCAGTGCTTTCATTATTTAATATTGTTTTTTGTAAGCCCTCATTAGTATCTTTTAAGTTATTAATCTGGTCCAATAAATTCGTCTTCTCAGTTTTAAATTCATTAAGCATAGCAGTAAAATTCATGCTATTTTTCTTTATCTTATCTATGTCATTTCTTATATGGTCAATATGATTTTGAATTTGTCCTATTCTATTTTCATTTCTGTCCGGAATTTTCTTTGATGTAGAAGCAGCGTCAGTTGTATTAGATTCAGTTGTAATCACATCACTTTGAAATTGTTTTAATTCATCACACTTATCTTCGTATAAGATTAAAAATTTATCATGCTCAGTTTTTAAAGTTTGTATCTCATCATTCAAACTCTGAATCCTTTCTTCAATGAAGCTTACATTCATTTCATCCACAAAAATAACATTTGAAGATACATGTAGGCTTGAACTTGATTCTTGATTCATTTTGTATTTCAAAATCTCAGTATCCACACACTTGTTATCAAACTTTCGTTGTAAATCTTCCAGCTTTTGATTCAAATTTTTTGCTTCAAGCTTAAGAATCCTATGACTTTCGTTCAAATTTCTTAAATGCACGCATTGATTGCAAGACGTTAGTTTTAAATCACTAAGCTTCTTGTTCAAACATGTCAAATAATCGATTTTGTTCTGTAATGCTACCACTTTATTTGTCAGTGTTTGATGAGTTTCTTCTTGTGATACTTCATTTTTACTTTCATTAACGTCTCTACTATTATTAAATATTTGTGATAAATGTAAAGTATTCTCACTTTGAGAACAGTTAAAATCATCTATAGTTTCTAAAAGATTAGTAGAAAATTTTGTATTTTCTTCGGATAGTATTGCCATTTTTGTTTTTAATTCTGCAATTTCTGCTTTTAAGATATTATTTTCTGTCTTTACACGGTCGATGTCATTTTCAGCAAAATGTTCATTTGTTAATAATGATTGCTCTATCTTATTTTTTAATATATTACATTGCTCCTTCAACATGTCGTTTTCTTCTATTTTATCTATTAAGTCTGTAGAAAGTTCATTATTTTCAGCTAGCAAATACTTATTATTTTCTTCAATATTAGCTATCTTCTTCTTGTAAATGCAATCGTGATCGTATAAAAGTGACTTACTTTCTTTAATGTCTTCAAGTTCTTTGTTTTTCTCTGCAATAAAAGTTGATAATTCAATATTTTCTGTTGTTAATTTATCAATTTTATTTTGATATGATCGTAACAACTGTTCTTCATTACATACTATTGACATTTTAGATTGTATAGATTCTAATCGGTTATTCAAAGCTGCTAAATCACTTTCTAATGTGATTTTTTCATTCGTAACTTCAGAAATTCGTGCATAAAGTTCATCAATTGTTTTTTTAAGATTAAATTCTGTTTGTTTTGCATTCTCTTGTTCTGTGGTTAATTTTGTGGCCATTTCCATATTTTCAGTTGTTAACAAGTAAACAGTTTCCTGCAATTTGTTTATGTCCGTTTTAAGGCTTCGGACATCGCTTTTTATATCTTCCAGTTCCTGGTTTTTTAGGTGAAGAGTTTCTTCTAATTGGCTTTTCTCTGTTTCCATATTTAAAATTAGGTATGAAACATCTGCATTGCTTATTCTTGAAGAAGATAAAATAGATTCATTTTCTAAAAGTATTGAATGTTGATCTAAATTTTCATTTGTTTGAACATCTGTTACACCTTGTGAATCATTTATGGTGCTTTTCCTTAATTTCAATTCGTTATTTAATTTCAATTCGTTATTTTCTGAAGTAATATTTTGCTTATCTATTTCAGAAGTTGCAATTTCCTCTGCTATAATTGATTTCAATTCAGGAGTTGTTTCTTTTACTTTAACGTTTAGTTGGTTATAAAGATTTTCAAATTTATTTCGTTCTGATAGAATAATTTCTATTTGTTTATTTAATTCGGATATTTTTTTTATTGATTCTTGATTTTCAATTTGTTCCGTTTTTAATGCGGAAGTTTTTTGATCCAATTGAACACGTAATTCAGTATTAATGTATTCATATTCAACTTTTTGAGATGTTATATTTTCAATTTGTGTTTCTAATTCAAAAATTTTTTCTCTTGTTTTCTCAGTTTCAATTTGTTTTGCTATTTCATCATTCAATTCAGAAACTTTTTGTTTTAATTTGGTATGTAATTCATTACTAACACATTCAAGGTCATTTTTTTCAGAAGTAATATTTTCAATTTGGTTTTCCAATGTTAAAATTTTTTCCATTGCTTCTTGCTTTAAAGTATATGCTGATTCAATTTTTGATTCTAAGTCTATAATTTTATTATTTAATTCGTTTTGTAATTTATTATTTGCACACTCACTTTTATTTTTGTTTGAAATAAATTGTTCAATATGTTTTTCTAATTCATCTACTTTTTTAATCGCTTCTTCTTTTTCAGTTTGTTCTGAAGCAATTTTTGATTCGAATTCTAACGATATACGATTTAATTCAGCACGCAAATTATCATTTATGTTTTTAAACGTATTATTCTCAGACATAATATTTTCAATTTCTGTTTCTAAGTCTATTACTTTTTTATTTAATATATCAATATTTGAACTATCTGAATTACTTTTTAAGTTTTCTAATTCTATATATTTTTTATTTAATTCTACATATAATTCTCGATGCATGTTCTCAAATTCATTTCTTTCAGAAGTAATATTTTCAATTTGCTTTTTCAATTCCGTAACTTTTTTCGTTAATTCATTACGTAAATCAACATTAATGAGTTCAAATTTATTTTTTTCTGAAATAATACTCTCCATTTGTTTTTCTAATTCTGATATTTTTTTCATTTCTTCTTGTTTTATATTTTCTTCAGACATCACTTTTAATTCTAATTCCGTTGTCTTTTTCTTTAATTCTGCACGTAATTCACGACTAATATATTCATATTCATCTCTCTCAGAAATAATATTTTCAATTCTTTTTTGTAGTTCTGACAACTGTTTCTCTGTTTTGAAATCTGATTCTTTTTTTGAAATATTTTGTTCCTCAATTGCAGTTAATTTATTACATAATTTAGTAATTATACATTCTAAATTTGTTTCTTCTGTAAGTTGAAGAGTTGCAAGTTGTTTTTCCACGTCGGAAGTATATTGTGATTTATAAGATTCTGAAGTTGAGTTATTTTGTTTAATTTGTTGTTTTTCTTCTTCCTAAAAACGTAAATTACATATAAATAATGAATGTATCATTATATGTATAATTAATTAATACTTACTTGTACACAGCTATGACATGTTAACTGTTTTTCTAAAGTTGTAAACTCACGGAGTTCTACATATTCTTTTGTTAAGTCACTTATACATCGTCGTAAAACATGTTTTGGCGTTGAAGGTGAAATTTGGTAGCTGTTATGAACAAGATAAATTAAAATTATATTATATAATTTTATTTATACCTATTTTAGTCTTCATTGCTTACCTCACAGTTTGGGTAGCAATGTTACATTTTTCTGGCATTTCATCAAAACTACTATTTTTAGGCTTAATATTGCATACATCATCAACAAATGTAACTCGATTTCTACGTTTTGTTACAAATATTTCTTCTTCACTATCACTTATACTTTCTCTATCACGATCTCTTTCACTTTCAAATAGTTCTAACTCAAAATCAGTGAAAGCTACTTGGAATGCTAGAAATGAAAAATAATATATAATTTAAAGAAATAAATATGATATATGTGAATCAAAATAATATGGCAAATTTACTTTGATTCATTATATCCATAGATTGAATAATGCTTTTTCTCCTTGGTTTTTCAAATGATACTTCTTTTATCGTTGGTAAGCCAGATTTAGGCTGAAATACTGGCAAATGTTGATTAAAAAGTGCAGGGCCACTCCATGTTTGTCTTCGTTTATATTTGCATTTAGATGAACCTTCTTGACTTATGTTATCTCCAGAAACAATACGAGTTTTTAGTAATTCTATGCGTTCTTCTAATAATTGATTAATACGATCTTTTTCTTGCAATTTAGATTCCATTTCTTCAACTTTTGCGGATCGATTTTCATTCTTTGTTTTCTGAAATAACAAGTCCATGCAATTACAATTCAAAGTAAGATGAGAAATATTAAAAATTTGTTATTATAATAATTAACAAACCTGTAATTCTTCTTGAAGTATAGCTATTTGCTTTGCATAGCGTTTCAAAAGTGCTGCATCAGACATGACTTCATTAATTTGTGGTTTGTTTTTCACACTTTTCGCCCGGGAGGCAAAACTAAAATTATACAAATTTCATAAATTTAGATTGATATTGATATCAATATATATAGAGTACTGATTTAAAAATATTTATCAACTAACGATAAAGTGCATTGAGTTTCTTCCAAAGCAACAGGAGTTACAGCACATATTATTGCTGTCATAGCATTACCACCCAGTGAATTTTGAAGCAATCTTGTTAATTTGCTGTCACGAAAATTAACATATTTTTGACTGTCTTGGGATTCACTTAATTGTTTAATTACTAAACTCAAAGTGGATAGAGATAAATTAATATGCCTTCCTTCTTTAAACCTCTCTCCAGTAGCTCCTGTTTGTTTTGCTCTTTCAGAACCAGCAAGATCTACTAGATTTAATTGTGATACCTGTATAGCACTGTCCGAATCTCCTCCAACTTCTCTACTTTCAATTGTCTGAATAGAAAATTTATATTAGAATATTATATTTACATATAATATGTAATGTATAGTAATTTGAACATACAATTCTAAACACAGTATGACTTCTGCTACTGCGTTCATTCATATCAGTTTCCCCTATTCTTCTATTTCTATTTCCTTTTTTCATTATAGATAGCACATTTTCGGGACTGTTTGTAATTTCTTCTTTACACTGTAAAATTACTTGTCCACTACTATCTTCTTGTATCTTTAAATCAGCACGGCTTTTATTCAAAAGATCATTCACTTTTTCATTGTAAATTTCTAAATAGGATACTCTATAAAAAAATAAGTCATTTTTATGTATATATGACTATAATGAATGTTCTGTTATAGTCATATAATGTGTATATGACTATAATGAATGTTCTATTAACAAAAATATACATGTATGAACCTTAATAAAAATTCACGTCCATTAGTATTAGCAATAGCATCAAACATATGTTCTACAGCAAGTGGTATAATCCCTAGTTCTTCTGCATCACCCATCATAGTATATGTTTTTCCAGAACTTGTTTGGCCATAGGCAAACACTGTTCCATTAAAGCCATTTACAGTAGCATTGACAATTGGTTTTACAATTTCAAATACATCCAAATTGGATGCATTCACATCAAAAATATCATCTACAAACATTAAAAATACTCAAAATATTAACAATTTCAAACAAATGTCGTTGTTATAATGAATGTAGTAAGCAATATGTATATACCAAAATAAAATCTGCCATCTCCACGCTTCTTTACCTCTTCATTTGTAGAAATAATGGAATTGTCTTGAACTATCCATTGTATTGCTAAATTATCATCTTTTTCGCGTTTGATTAAAGGTCTCACTTTAATAACTACCTTTATACTGTCTGACATTTTTATTAATTTTTTGTCCCAAATTATTGAATAATCTTAGCTTATTTTTCAATTAATATTTATTTTACTTACTCACACATTTCCTTCAACATCTCTAACTGCCATTTGAAAAAATGACTTCTTTAGCGTTCGTTTGAAATTAAATTTTCTACAATCTGATTGGTTCGTTAAGGCATGGAACTGTTAATAATAAGATAAGTAACTAGATACAAATAAAATCTCTTTCACATAAGTGTGATTTTTATACTTAGGTGAAAATATAGACTAGTAATATTTTACATCTAGGAAATTCTAAAAATATATTTTTAAATTACATTACATTTTTAATTATTTCGTTCAATTAATGAAATTGTAATAAAATTGTTTTTTAAGATTATCCATAACTTTGAATGAATCGAATCGGAAATATGATCATTGTAAACGTAACCAAAGACCCTAACGGAATTTTTGAATTGTAGCCAATCACGTGATAGTTGTTCAATTTTGAACGAAAGATTTTCGGCACGTTGCAAAATTCAAATTATAGTCAGAAATAGTGAACTTTCCATAATACTGTGTTTTTTAAAATTTGGAAGTGACAAATCAGCAAGTGGAACTAGTAAATAAATTTTTACAATTCCTGATAATTACTGTAAGTATTTTCGATATTTATAATTACTTTTTAAAATATTTCTATTGTTGTTTTCTTATAATATTTTTGATACTAAAATTGATACTTCTCTCCTTCAATTAATATCTCATATTTTACTTAGTGTTTTAGATTGTTTAAGAAATTTTATATAAAAGGTAATAATTATTAATTTTCCAATAATTTATTATATATTTATGTATATGTATATATACGTATACATATATTTCTACAAAAATGAACATTAATTAACGTATCATATAATCACATATATAATCACATATATATATAAAAAACATTACTTTTCATGACTAGCATTATATAAGCTCCTATTTTGATATAATTTGTCAGTCCAAAAGTATAAATCTCCTTATTTCGATATTTTGTTTAAAATTATATTAAATTTGAACAGTGGTAACACTTGTATTTTAAAATATATTTCAAAAAGATTATTAGGCATTGTGAATTACTAACAAAATGATTTATAATGTCGAATTTATCATTGTTGAAAAAAATCTTTGTTCTTTAAAAATAATTACTAAAATGTGTAGGCACAATAAAATATTCTATTTGTACCTAAATTTTTGTAAATACGCGATAAATAATGATTTACAAATACTTTAACTTTTTCTGATCCGCAAGCAGAACAGTTCAATTGAGTTAGCTAGATGTTTTGGTTGGATTAGTTGTCTATATTCTTATAAATAAAGAATAGACACAATCCATTATTCACCAACTACGCAAGTTAATTTTTAGTACTCTTTTTTATAACAATATACCCTTCTCTACATTTTATGCTGTGTTAAATTTCAATAATTCATCTATCAAACAATCAGAAGCATGTCTCTACAATGCTTTAGTTTGGTGGTTCTCTTTGGTCTCCAGACAAGACTAAAGATAGCATTATTCTTACCATTATATCTTATTCTGAAAGCTTTCCATTATACGGATCATAAGCATATGCTTGGCAATCCGAACATATGCATCTTAAAATAACAATATAATAAATTAACAAATTAACAACTTATATATAAAAATTATATATGACAAGTTAATTTATGGACGGATTGGGAATGGATTACTTGTCGCAAATCTCGATTTTTATAAATTTTGTAATGCACAATGGAAATTATAAAAAAAAAAAAAAGAAAAAAAGAAAGAAAAAACATGTCCAATAATAAAATTATTCTATATCAGAATAATTTTAAGGCACCTACAATACTGTGATAAATATACATTAGAATATAAAATATAGAATATAAGTAATCAGTCCCAATTTCGTATAAAAAATGTATGTGTAAAAATTGTGAAATACTAAAAGTACTAAAAGTATCAAAATGTTATAGTCAAGTACTAGTTCTTAAATAACCTATAGTAATGAATTTTAAGTATTCATGACTAGCGTGAAATATGACAAATCCTGTTCCCATATACGGAAGAATTATTATACTATTTGTCCTGTAAATATCATTGAACGTACACTGGCAGTTTCAATATCTGATTCAGTCTGAAACAATGTTACAACTTATTTGAGCTGTGCTGGCGTGGAAGATCTATCGTAAGATGGTGGTGGAGGTAAAGCTAATGATGGCGGTAAACTGGTAGTACTTGTCAAAGTAGAATCCAATTTTCGAGCTTCATGTTCTAATAACATTGCATCTAATGATGGATCTTGGGCTACAGTTCTCAAAGAGTCTCCTAAGGCTTGTCTTAATTGTTGCATTTCTCGACCAGCTCTTGAACTTCGCAAGACGTACAATTGTCGACGTTTTATTTCTTGATTAAGTTGTTCGCGCAGTAGTTGTATCTATTATTTATACATTCATTACAATGTCATAAATATAATCATTTATAAAAGCTGAAAATACAATATAGGAATAGAAGTAAATACCTGATTTTCCAGACGTAAAACTTGTTGGCGGTGACTTTGTTCTCTCGCTTCTAACAATTTCTCAGCTTGTAATTGAGCTGCTCTAAGTCTTTCAACTTCTCCAGTTCTATCTCGGCTAAAATCAAATATCGAATGACTGTAACTCGATTTCATTCTTATGAGCTCAGCTTCCTTCTCTGCAAGTTGTGTTTCCAATCTACGGACTCTCAATCTTAATTCTCTGTTTTCCTGTTCATAATGCTCTATATCGAAACTCGTGCCAAGTAATTCTGCATGTGCTTTCTCATAGCGTTCATAACTTTTACTACGACTAGTAGATTTAAGTAACGATAATTGTCGTTCCAAATTGCGCTTATCAGCTTCTAATAATTTCATCTAAAACATATATAATTAATACTTCTTCACTCCAGCTTCACTATCAGCTTCTAATAATTTCATCTAAAATATATATATAATTAATACTTCTTCACTCCCATCACATATTTACCTTGTCGTTAAGAGCTTCCATTTTTCCTCTCATTTCACTTCTCTCTCTTTGTGCTATTTGCAATTGTCGTAATAATTCATCGCCTTTGTTTACACTTTCCTCTTTCGGGTAAACAACCATTCTCAATTGGGACTCTAAGGCACAACGTTGTACTTCGTTATTTGCTAATTCATTTTGTAAACGAGTAATTTGATCCGTTAATGTTTGATTTGTGTGTTTTATATCACTCAAAGCTTGTTGCAAAGATTCTATGCGTTCGGACAAAATTCTGCGCTCGTTTTCCGCATTTGAAAGTTGTTTTTGCAACTACAATATAATAAATAATAAGATTTAAATTTTATTTATATTTTACAGATGATTTTATTACGTTAGTTACCTGTTTGTTCTTTTCGTTGAAAGTCTGCACAGAAGTCGTTAATTCCATGATATTGTGATGCAATGAATTAATTTCATTCTTTAATTCACTTTCTGTATTAGATGCTTTTTCTAATGCAAGATTTAATTGTTCTATTGTAGATTTCATTGAAGCACAACGTTCTTCTAGACTGGTTATTGTTCGGTTTTGCATGTCATTTCGTTCTTGTAATTTCTAAAAAATTAACAAGCAATAGTACGTATTTAATATGTTTCAATTATACAATTAACATACATGAATGTTTGCATCTTTTTCCTGTAACATCATTTGCAATCTTTGAAGATCACCTTCTAACGACATTCTTTGTAATTCTAATTTTGTAGCGCGAGATTCGCTTCTATTAAGTTCCTCTTGCAAATTACGTTTCTCATTTTCGACTTTGTTCAGAGCTTGTTTCAGTTTGTCTACTTTTTCCTGCACATTCATCCAATACATAACATTATGTAACTAGAAACATTTTATTCAAAATAATTATTTTATTTTATCCTTACCTCAGATTGTGCTTTTTCTTCAGAACTGTTACTAATCATCATTTCAAGATTGATTACCTTTTCACGCAATTGCTCGCATTCTTCTGTTTTTAGTTGTAAAGTGTTTAACTAAAACATACTTATAAGTAAAGGAACAAACTATCAGAATATAAAACTATCAGAAAATGTAAAATGTACCTGCATTTCATAGCCGCTTTGTTTTTGAGATAACTTCACTTCTAATGAATTCTTTTCATCTTGAAGAATTCTTAAATTTGCTAACAAAGTATTTATCTGCATGTCTGATCTATTCTGAATTTCTTGAGTTTCTGACAACTGTTTTTTCAAGTTACACAATTCAGTTTTACAATCATCCTAAAATTCGAGTAAACATATTTTAGAAAATCATAAATTATTAATATAATACTTTGCTAATTACCCTTTCACGTTCAATTTGAGCTACTTGTTGCATGAGAGATCGTACACCTTTTCTAACAACTTCAGGGTCAACATCAAGTATCACATCTCTAGTAGAATCAATGTGATCTTGAGCTACATGATAAAAATGATATATCATTTATAAATTATTTACGATTGTTATCATTTATACGTATTGCATGCATACTTCTTGCTGGACTCCACCTCCTTGACGGACTCATTAATTTGAAGGGTATGTTAACACTTCCATCCATTTGAATACCTGCAATCCGACGTAACGTAGAAGCCACACTGCTTAACTTTTGTTCGACTTCTTTCTTTGCCACTTCTAATTGTGATAATTGAGCATCTAGTGCTCGAACTCGTCCTTCAGAGCCACCAAGGCGAGCCTAATTAATGCAATGAATTAAATCTTTTATTTTGTTTTCGCGAGACTCTATCTTTTATCTTACTTTGAGTTCTTGAATCTGTTGGGACGCATCAGCCAAACAAACTTCCAAGTTATGTTTTTGGTCTTCGAGTTTTCTTTCACGACATCGACTATCCTCGAGACGAACAACAAGTTCTTGTTCTCTAACTCTCCATCGCTCATTTTCTTCATCTGCGCGAGAACGCAATCTTCCGAGCTCTTGTCTAGTTACCTTCAGGCTGTTGTCAACATCCATTAGCTGTTCAAAAAATACTAATTAGAAACATATATTAATTCGTTTAAAGTACCTCGTACTTTACCTGTTTTTTAACTTGATGTAATTGCAGTTGCAAACGT